CCCAGTGTAAATGATGTCCACCAACGGGTCCCAAACTAGTTTATCATGTCCGAGTCACAATCAAAACCCGGTATTAAAATGGTCCAGCCAGAGCCCTGTAAAGAATTAAGAAGGCGGCCGCAACACTTCTGTCTGGGAGTGCCCCTTACTAACCTTGATCTACCCGGGTTTTGATTGTGGCTCAGTTGGGGCACTTCAGAGGTGTTGGATTGGCGGCTTGGTGGTGTGGAGGTTGGGGACTACGAGAACCTGGGGTACCAATTTTGACTCATCGAATCTCTTCCCCTTAAACAACGAATGCGGCCCAGTAGGGAAGAGGGGGGGGGGGGCGATATTTACTATAACCATGTTATGATACGGACAATGCATAGTATTTTAGTATCATCATTGTTGGTACTGTTACTAATAATCATGATTAGTATTGCTGCTGTCATTCAAATTTCTCAGTATCAGTATTATTATTTCTCCTATTAATCATTCTCATTCTTCCTCTTATCTATTATTCTGGCCACTCTTATTACTATTGTTATATATTTGTTTATTGTGCGGGGAAGATATTCAAACAAATCGAACCCCGCCTTCAGCTGCTCCAAGTTCCGGCTATAGGCGCGGCTGTCGGTGATCCTGCAATAGATGCTCGCAACCGGATCTTGGTGACCCACGGCAAGTGAGTCACCGGTTTGTTTGGTGGCGAAACTGTGGTTTCAAAGAGACACCAAAGGGAACTGCTCATTTTGGAGCTCCCCCAATTTGACTCAAACCCTGCATTTTGGCGACAAAACCGGCTTCCCTTGAAGCTACTCCGAAAAAAAAAAAAAAAAAAAAAAAAAAAAACATCTAGCCAACCCAACTTCTTCCCAGCCGAGTTTGAGGGCTACTCCCAACCCATGTTGAGTTTCACTTCTCCCCGCTCCCTTCCACCAACCCCCCCCCCCCCCTCGCCCAAGTTCCCGCATCTGGCGCCCTGGGGCCTCTTGGTGTGGTTGGCGCTGTGCATGAACTTCCCGCTGAAGCGCCCGAAGCCCTTCTTGGGCCTCTTGATGGACTGGCCCGGCTTCCCCACGTTGCCGTCGTTCTTGGAGCAGTAGGGGTAGCCTCCGCGCGAGGGCCAAAACCCCGCCCCCCCCCGGGCGAAAAACACAAAAATCGGGAGCCCTGGCGGATTTTTTTTCTTCAAGGTGCCGCTGGCTCCTTTTGAACCCTGAAAGCTGCCCCAAACCACAACGAAGGAGCCTAGTTGGGCAGAGACCTCATAGCTTGTAGCTGGGGAAAAAACAAAAGGACACCAAGCCATGGTTGGGCGGAAGGATAATGTTTTTAGGGAGGGGAGAGGGTCAAATTGACCCTTATAAAATAAATGAGTGTAAGGCTTCTTGGGGGATACGCGTATATCTCGGTTCCAAAGAACACTAAAAGGAAAACCACCACAAGTTTGACACACCCAAATCAAGCCCTTGCTAATGATTTGCCCCTCAAAAAGCATCACGCAAACGACACGAAAGGACTCATATGATCACCAAGCACCTTTAATTAGGTCTGAGGGTTGGGCCCCAGGAGGGGAGGCTCCGGCCACAACGCTATTGATTGCAAAAGAGCCATGGTGGGCTCAATCCGGTCAACCAGAAAATCACAATAAATTAAGTAACTCAACCTTTTCGGGCGCGCCCATATGGCCGGTCTGGTATCCCCCCCCCAAAAAAAAAGCAAGGGACAATAACGTCCGCGAAACAACGCATAAAATGAGTTCGGGCCACAATCCCCACTAAAATAGGTTTTAAAATGGGTGGTGCACCTACCCCGAAATGGGATCTGATTGGTTTTGACCCACAGCCAAATGCTCATGCGCTTCCTTCGCTCCATTGCCAGGGAGCAGTCCCCATACAGCAACCCGTTCAAGCGCAGCCGGTGGTGAAGCTCGTCGTCCTAAAGGGTTGAGTCGCCCCCGCTCGCCAGGTGTATCGACGTCTCCAGGGTACATCAAAATTTAAGCCGAAAGATGGCTCCAACCATAGGTGGCCTGATGGAAAAATACATGGCCCTGGTAGATGGAATGAAGCAAGGGTAAACCAGTGCCATCTGGTTCTAGCCAAACTGACCGAGAAAGGACACCTATGACTCTGACCCAATTTTGGCGGCTTCAAGCATGCGGAAAAGGTGCCACTGAACAGGGGTCACTCTAGCCTGAATCAACACTGGCCCCAAAAGGTGATTTTAAAACCTTGAGCACATTGTGGGTCCTTTTTGGGCTGGTTCCCACGGGAGTTCCAAGGGACACCACGCATCTGTGCGGTTTCTGCCGTTCTGAGTTCGACCCCAAAAGGGCTTATGCTTGCGGCAAAGGTTGAGGGGATATGCTGGTGTTACCTGAATTTGAGACTCCCATGGCTGGTTCCTGGCAAGAAAGGGCCAACAAACCACGGGGCCATGTTTCAGGGCCGCTGGGTCCCTGGGTGAGAATGTAACAAATCTCTTCGTGCCATGATCAACTGTCAGGCTATTTGGTCAGGACGCACCTTTGTGACCATGCGGTCTTTGCAAGGGAAACCATTTTCGCAGGCTCAATCTGATCTCAACAGCGACCACGTTGTTTGCCTTACATGTGCGGGTTCATCAAAAGATCCTTTACATGGAATGACGGACAATTTGCTAAAAAAAAATGAGAATTCCCACAAACTGGAACTAGCTACCCATGGTCAAGCCCCATGATTGTCCATTGCGCAAGCCGGCAGCCCGTGGCACATCCTCCCCGCCCCAGCCGAAGTAATTGTTGCCGAAGCCGTTGATCTTGCGCCAATGGCGCAAGCCTCGGTTCCGCAGCAACACGCGAGAGTCAGTGCTCGCTCCGGTTGCAACTTTTGCAGCCAAGGTAAAGAATCGGTCGGGGCACTCACAAAAAGGGACCTGACAAGGGAACGTGCCCTGTGATTAGAGGGGGTTACAACCCGGTTTGATCCGGTTTGTGTGTAGGGGGTGGCGTTGGAACAGTCACCTTGGCGAACAGAATCCTCATAGAATTGCTTGTTCTCTGAGACTTGCGTGAGAGCACACTTGCTGCTGCTTGAAGGCTTGGTACGAATGCAAGGGTAGGTGTTTGTCAGAAATGACTCATGTTTGGTTCTTGGGAATTGGGAGGCGGAAGGGTTCTATGACGGTTGTGAATTGAGGTCCGTTGCGATAACCTGATCAAATCAATCGATCCTGTACCGACAAGGTCAATCAACTCAACCCTCATGGAAGACTTTGCCATTGTCAATGAAGTTTGAGGGCACCCTTCCAGCGAATACATCATGAGTGTCTAATGGCTGCGCCATCCATGTCGTCTCAAACTCTTGTTCATACCCGCAATGTAGAGAACGGTTTGGATGTGCTTTTTGTGGATATCACTAGCTCTCTCTCTCTTCTAGGGTATTGTGTAATACTCTTTAAACACCCGTCTAATATCCTACAGGGGTGGGTTTCCACAAAAGCCTTTCTTTCTACATACAAGGCAACTAAAAATGGCGTACGATTTGTAGACAGCTCCTGTGCCCCAAAACCAATATCAAGTAAACATGCCGTGGCGACGTGTCCGGATGGATTCATGTCAGTTTCCCGCAAAGCCCATCCGTCAATCAAAGGGTCCCCAGTATTGACATCAATCACATTGACTGAATCAAACACATCATCTGCCTACTTATATGTGTATACATATATATATATATATACACTCCACCTTTGCACTTGTACAGTCTGTAGACACTGACAATTTCGATAGTAGGGGTGAGCATATATCTATATATATATACTTGTTCTACTATGTTCTATTTGTCGTTTTGATACTGACCTATACTTCATGGGTTGCTCTGCTGCCAGAAGCTCAGACAAGGTCATTCAAGCTGTTGAGTAACCGTGCTGTCAGAAGCCAGGGCCAGCGTCTGGAAACGGCTGCAAATAGGAGCGCAAGCATTCGGACAACACTTCGGCCCTGTCTCTCGCAAAGCGGCGCTTCCGCAAAAGCTGCCACTGCTCCTTGCTCAGAAAGTGCATGAAGCCACCGTAATCTTTATTTGGTCGGCGAGCCGCGCGGCCAGCTTTCGCCTCTTCTGCGCCTGTGAGACTTCTCGCCCTGTGACGGGAATTGTGCTGAGCGTGGCTGGTTTTCTACACAGACACGGCCGTCTAACCTAGGGCGTAAGTTCTTTAATTGCGTAAGTTCCCCATCTCACTAGGTGCATTCATAACTTAGATATGGTCACCTTATGGAACTTATGGCTTGGTTCAGGTAAGACAGAAACAACTGAGGGCGAATATACAAACAACTTACAAGTAACTTATGAACTCGACTTTTTTCGGATTTGCGCTGCGGCACGCGGGGGTGTGGGTTTGTCGACGAAAGCGGCTCGCTGAGGGGGCTTCAATGTGTAGGCTTTTTTTTGGAAACATGGAATGTTGGATCATCAGTGTGTGAATTGTGTGGTTCTTTCCTGTGAACCCTCATGGTAGACGTAGCGTCGTGTGTGCTCGGTTTGCGCCGCGACGGCGCCAAGAAGCGGTCTTGCCAGCGTGAACGATCAGCTCGACGGCTGCGGCGTAGATACCTGGAAAACTTAGACCATCGCAACAACGCACGGCTGTCTTTCCCCGGGAAGAAGAGCAGGGTTTTGCGCATATGGCCCATGGCAACTCCGCATTGAAGCCGCGCAACCCGCACTGTAAGCTGTGTTTATTCATTTCTTGCTCATAGCACTGTTGAAGGCTGTTGCCAATCATGCGAATTGATGTTGCGTGGCTTACACACGCAGCATAGCGCACATGCAATACTGTGACTTCCAGCTGGCAGTTCGGTCAAGCACTGGTAAGCATCTTGTTGGTCAAGCATTGGCGCCGACTGTGAAGGAGGACTCCTCCTTGTCCTCATCCTTCTCTTGTCCTTACTCTCCTCCGCCACAACTTCACGCGAAGGCCGCGCGAGTGATCTCCGCCAGGCTCTCATCACGCAAACCAGGCGTCATCAGCCTTAGCCGGGACAGACTTGCTGCGTTTTTAGCAGCTTGCACGCCCGTGTAGCCAACGCGTAATCTCAAGCCGTGAAGCGCAAGGACAGACGAGGGGCTGAGGCCAACCACGGAGCTTCATCACAGCAGTCCATGCATTCTTGCTCATCGCTTCCTGCATCTGGGTCAGCATGCATAATCACTGACTGGGCAGACGCAATGACTTTCTTGTCAATCTTGACTTTTCTGGGAGCAGGGCGTATATGTTCCTGGCAAAAGTCAGAAGCGAATCAGTCATCGCCTTCAGCCGCTTCAGATCGCCGGACACTTTCATGCTGACGGCAATCAGCGCAGCGGCAGACTTGCCAGGCCCAATTGGGTGGTCCTTCTACGCGCCCACATTCTGTCAACGGCCCAAACGTACCGGTTTTGGATGTCCCAGGTTGGTATGAACACCTGAAGAATCCAGGTTGGCTTCCTGAATCAATATAGGGGGAGCCACATATCATGAAATGATGGCTCCTTGGCAATGCGCAGCGGTCGGTGAAGGGACGAGCCTGAAACTATGTTGCAGCCAGGCGCAAGGGCATCCAGCGCAGGACCACAGGCGACGCTCCCGCTCATCGGCAGGCGCGGCAGGGTCAGCACGAACGCATCGCAGACCACGGTGCTGGGCAGACATAACTGCGTCGGCAGGCGCCACACAAACAGCTGAGCAAAAGCTAGCTCAGCGCGCGGCAAGTCTAAGACGGGCCCACATGCGCAACACAGAATGAAGAAAGGTTCTCTTCACAAATCAAAGCAGATGTTTTGCTTTTTTGTTGCTTCTACTCTCTTCTCTTGGTGTCATGTCTAAGGGGAGAGGGCCGTTGCAACATCGTGTGTTCCAGGCTCAATCAGCCTGTATCTCATGCTCAGTGCTCCCGTTGCGAAGCAGGGCAAGGCATAGCCTTTGGTACCCTCCTGCAGCTGCGGTGGGGTGCCGAGCGTACCCCTGAGGCACAGCCAACCCTCCACGTAGGTCGACAGAAGTTGCAGCGCCGCGGCAAAGTTCAAGGCCGCGTCCGGTGCAGGGCCAGCGCTGTTAACGGCAGCGGGCGCGCGTGCCGGAGTTGGCAAGCTGTCCATGGCTAGGCCAGGTAGAGCTAGTCGCTGGGTGCCGATTGCTACAAGTCTCCAACCCTCAAGCCGCCATCGCAGGCGCTGAGGCTGAAACCAAGTCCGCAAAAAACAAGTCTCAGAGTGCAACCCAGTAAAGCTCCAAACGTACACGAGCTCAAACAAGTGCAGCGAATCCAAAGCTACAAGCTCTGAAACTTGCACAGGTTCAAAAATGCACCAAATGCAGAAATCTACCCCAAACAAGCCTGCCCTCATCATTGCATCTGGGTTTTGCATTTGTTGCATTGTTGGAACCCTGTGCAGGTCTTGGAGCTTGCAGGTTTGGAGTTGTTTGCGTGTTTTTTGAGGCTGCTCATGCTTTAAGAAGCCAAAGCTCCAAAACCTGCACAGGTTCGAAAACAGTGAAAAACATGCAAAGCAGAAAGCTCTGAAACCTGCACTGGCTCAGAAACAAACTGTTGATTTTGTGCGTTGGTTTGAGCCTGTGCGTGTTTTGGAGCTGAAACCATCAAATAACGCAAACACAAAAAGTTTGTGTGTGTGGGTGTGTGTTTTTGCAGTTTCCTTGAAAACACACTGCGACAAAGTTGCATCTGAAAATGCTATTCGATTTCGTGTTGTTTGATTTATTGAGTCTTGTTTCGCATCAAGCACACAAAGAACATCTGGCACAATATAAAAACTCTCACACGAACACTGTAACGTACAGTGTTTTCTGCAAGGCAACTGCAAACCAAGTGGACACTGAACATCTGCAACTAAATTTGTGCAAAAAAGTAGAAAGGTGGGCACGGGGAGGGGGGAGGTGACCATATTTACATATATATATATATGTACTACTTCCTGTGCCCGTTCCGACATTGCGGGTAGCACATGACATATTTTTGGGTTCTGGCCAGGTGGCTCATTCCAACGATGCCACCTGCGCTGGTAAGGTATGGCGTCTTCCAGTTGTATCTGTCCTAAGGCGAAGCGTTTCGCGCAAGCGAGCGACCGAGCCAAGGGCCCTGCTTTCAGCCATTCAAATCAGTCACAATCAAAACCCCTTATTGAAAAGGTCTACCCAAAAACATGCAAGGAATGGCGGCTGCAACCATTTATGGCTGGGACTATCCCTAACTGCCCTCCAACTACCCGGGTTTTGATTATGGCTCAGATGACCTACGAACCATCACCAATTGTGGCTTCCTTCCAAAGGATCCATCGGTTCATTCCCACCCTGGTTGATGCCCTGATGAGAATCAGCAAGTGGCCCTGCTGAATAAAATCCTGCATGGCATAGATGAAGCCCTATGAATACAAGTAAAAAAAGACATACGTTGGTGCAGGAGTTGTTCATATATACAATTGTATGATTCAAAGTGGAATCTCCGTGTCCTTAGAGTGATGGACTTTAAGATTCCCAATTCGCCAACAACAAGACCTCCTGGACCCCTTTGTTCCCTCCCGAAAAGGCCGCGCCAACTCCTGAGACGCGGTTTGCCATCAGGGTGTTGACATGGGGAGATCCCTCCAGGTTGGGTCTCTCATGTTCCCTTCACAAACCAAAATTGCACAACCAAAGATAGATCACGGACAAACTTGGTCACTTTGCTTGCTTGGTGGCGCATGCTGGGGTTTGTGGGGGCTGAACTGGGAGAAATCTCTGACATGACTCAGTCTAACGCAACACAAAGGGAATTGAAGTGTGGACACTTCAACCAAGGAAAGCCCGGCTCTGGAATCAGGGTGGGCCAACCAACTGTTTAAAACATGTTTCAAACACTGTTATCGCTGTTGTTTTTGAACAATTCGCCTCCCTTTGGATTGTCGAGCTTGATGCCTAAACATATGTGGCACTCTGTTTGGAATCTGAAGCGGTCGAGTCCGCTCGAGTCCGATGCGAGTCCACAAACGTCGTATTGATATCTTGCATCAATTCGAATTCACGAGTGCTCATCAATCTACGTACGATAATATGTATATATATATATATATCTGATCGAACACACTAATACACTTAAATCTCATTATGATGTATGAATTTATTGTAATCACACCATCAACATATACTTGTGATCGGAATACATTACAAGAACACACCCTGCATGCAGGTCAAGCATCGATCTCCGCGCTGAGCTGCATCGGCACCTCGCAGTCCCCGTAGTCCACGCCCTTCTCCGGCAGGTAGTCGATGTCCTCTGGAGCGAACAGATGAAAAGGCTGTGGGTCACGAATAGGTACCCACGGCAAATCGAGCCCTGATAAAGGCCAAGGACGAACACCTGGTGGCTTATCAAAATGACAAAGTCTCAAAATGAGTCACAATCAAAAGCAATCGGTATCAAAATGGTCCAAGCCCAGAACCATGTAAGGAACTGTAAAGGCGGCGGAGGCACCCACTTATGGCAAGGATTCCGATTCTCCTTTACTAACCTCCATCTACCCGGGTTTTGAGTAAGTGGCTCAAATAAGAAAGGCTTCAGCGCCACTCCACCAGGTCTAGACATCCGCAACCAAAACAAGTACTGTCCTCTGAAAAGGGGTCAGTGTGTCAGATAGGTGCAGAAAGCTTAGCTTGGGGGTTGTATGGCGGACCATACATCATTTATCTTGCAAGTTGTATCAAGTGAGGGTTCTCACTCCCTGAGCGGATTGTATTGCAGGGCTCCCTGCTCGCTCTCCGCATTTCCCCTTCTTCAAACATCAGATTGGCCAAGCAAAGGTGCACTTGAAATTGGCCTTTCCACAATGTAATATTCAGACCCGCCCTACCTACTTAAGGAAAAATAGCTGGAACCCTTTGCCTTGTACCCGCATCTCAGGAAAACGTGAAAGGTCCCTTTTTTTTTATGGGGACACCCACCCCGCCCCTAGATAACCTAAACTAATCTCCTGACTGGATTGGCCAAGCAACAAACAACAATGTGATTTACCACTGAAACACCACCTCCCCAAAAGTATGAGCACCAGGACAGGGAGTAATGGCAACGTTGGATCCACCATACAATTTCGAGAAACCATGGTCATGGTACGAGCACCTTTGGGTCATGACCCAGTCCTAGGGGGGATGTTCCGACAGATTCCCACTACAAGGGGACACCGCCCCGATCAAGATCAACGAGTTTATGAGTCCTGGCTTGAAATCATGTGTCAAACCACGGGCATACCATAAGGGGACACGGGTACCGTCAGGAAAAGCACACACACACAAAAAACAACTTCAGCCACGCTCGTCGGGCTTGTCAGTTGCTTCGATTCGCACTCCCCGTCCGGGCGATGCCTAGCTAGGGACCAAGCAAAACAGCCTGTGTTGCTCAGGGCTGAATAGTGCCGTGTGTTTTGCAAAGCGGAGAGGCACGCAGAAATTAGTTCAACATGGGAGTTCACGCGTTGCATTAGTGCTGGATGTCCTGTCAATGGGCGAATCATGTTCGCCCCCTGCATTCTGGTTCGGAATCTTGTTACTTGCTGTCCATGAGTTGACCTATGCACCTCAAAACCATGCCCCTTTAAAGGAAGAGCTTGGAAAGCTGCGACAAAGCCCAAATAGAACCCATTCCTTTCTTACTTCGGAATTCCGTTCAGGGTTGCCTTAAGGGGCCGGTATGGTAACGAAAAGCAATTCTGGCAACTTGACGCGTGTTCGCTCTCCGCGGGGAGTCGAAATGATTGCTTCGTCCGGCCCGATGAGGCAAGGAAAGGCAAACTTCACAAAAATCACAGATTTCCCGGCCCGTGCCCTCTGGAACCGTAGCGTAGTCGAATGGGCGCAAAGCAAAAAAACTAAGTGCAACTGCTTCAGGTGACGCCCCCTCCAGTACACCAAACCCCTGGGATCAGCTTGCCTGGATGACGGCGCAATCAAAGTCCATGCCCATCTCAGACTTGATGTCCGCAGAGGCGGTGGTTTGGGCCTAAGCTTCGAAGCCCCGACCCCCCGACCAGACCCTCCGCCCCCCCCCCCCCGGGGCCCCTTTCAGATGGAAACCAGCTACAGGAAACTGGCTGAGCTCACTGTCAACAAGATCCTCTGCACCTCTCCCCCACCACCAGACATGCACACGGCTGCAACATACGCGAAAAGGAGGATTTCTCTTAGAAGCGCCTTGGGACCATCCGAGGGCTGCCCGGGGACTTGTGCGGGACTTCCGCAAAGAGTTGTTTGAATTGTCAGCTGAACACCACGGTGTCTTTCTTCTGGCTGTTCCACCACCAGAAAGGTGATTCCAAGTGTGACGAGTTCGAGCGAGTCGCGTCTTTGGCAACTTGTGCTAGACTAGCAGCTTCCTTGCACGAGCCTATGTTTGACTTTGTGCTGGTGGTTTTGCAAAGCACCCCTGATCTTCGAAGTCCATGCAGCCGTGCAGCGAACTTGATGGGTCAAACAAATTGAAACCATCCCTCACATGGACACAATTGATATTTCTTGTTCGACTCAAAAGCCCAGTCGCCCAGTCAGATCAGTGAGCTGGTACCAACAGATTTCCAGTCTTCCTGGGGAATGACACCATTGTTTGCGGGCCCGAACCCCAAAACGAAAAGGTAAAGAGGGGTGGCATCCACTGAACTGGGAATTCCGGGAAGTCGGCCCCTTTCTTGGACGGAAACCATCCTTCTTTGGGCAGGTGATTGGCCAAACAAATCCAAAATACCGTGCTTTTGTTACAAAAAAAATGGTCTCCCGTTGGCCCATGATCCCCCTCAAACAAATGCCGAAGGTCCCAAGTTTCAGTCCAGGACCTCAAGCACTGAGTTCTGTTCCCCCTTTGGGCGTGCCCCGCTCCTCCCCAGTCCCTGGCTTTCACGTGAGCGGCGGAGGCGATTGCCAGGGCCGTGTTGAAGTTCCAGCCCCGGTTGAAGGTCTGGGAATCGAACTGCTCCGACACGTAGACCACCCAGCGCTGCACCTAAGCGAGAAAGCGCGAGGAGGACAAGAGCCTCTGAACCGAAACCAACAAACATGTTTTAGCAAACAAAGCAAACAACCCACTGGTCCCCGCTAAAAGACAACAAAAAGGATGTTGTGTTAACAATGGCTTAATGTTCAGAGACCGAAACTCGGAAAGCTGGAGACCCTTGGTGGCAGAATTTGCTTCAAACACTGGCCAGTTTCAACACGAAACCTATGAGGTTGTTTAAATAACGGTGCTTTGAACCATGGTAGGGCCGGGTGGCCCAATCCTCTCAGAGAAGCTGGGAATGAGAAGTGTCCAAAAAATCACACAGCAAAGTCGCCGAGAATTGACGACCAAAAGGCGCCAGTTGGCCACCAAACGATTTTTGACCAAGCGAGGCACTAGTGGAAATCCCAACACATGCCGCTTCGCGCGGCAAAAAGCCGGCGCACGGATCAGCCGCCGATTCTGGCGGCTGGAGCCGCAAAAAGAAACGTGAAGCCACTGACCCCCTCCGCCCACTCCATGTGAAAACCGCAAGGTTTTGGAGAGGCTCTATATGTTGCCCAAAGATGGAGTGGTGTTCCCCTCTGGCAATACCCTGGAAACCCCTTGCGTTTGAATTGATCCCTGTGCGGGAAGCTTCATGGAGTTGGAGGTCTATCGGTCTATCTCTCATGGGCTCTGAAAAAAGAAAGCCCGAAGTCTTCAACCAACAAACCCATGAAAAGAGAAACCACAAACACATGTGGGGATTTCCCCAAAGGGTGGTCACCTCTCTCGAGAACTCGACCAACACGACATATGAGCCATGTTCAGGGGTCCATTGTAACAGAAACCTGCGACTCGATGCTGACAAGAACTGCCCTGAGTTCTCACTATGGAACAAAAAAGGTTCACAAAGCTACGGGAACAGCAAGAAATCATAAATTCATGAGCAACATGTATCATGCAGTACTGCAGCGCTCTCGGTGCAATTCTTGTGCACCGAACATAAGAAATGAAGACAACCTAGTACAAAATAGGAAGATCACCTTCGCTTGGTTTTCCCCAAATCCATGGAACAACCCAGAGTACAGGACGGACCCACAAGGCTCAAAGTAACTTCAATGCCACCCCCGCCCCCCCACTTGTGAACAGCCCGCAAACACAGAAGCGATTAATTTGTTGGACGAGTATATGATGAAAGCTGGTAGCTGAGGAGCACCTTAAGGAGAAACAGGACATCTTTGCCCAGTGATGGAAGGGACATCATTTGGTTGATGGAAAGCTCAAGTCGAAGAGAAAACAACAGGATGGCTCAGGTTGAAGCGTTGCATCTTTCCTCACAAAGAAGCCCTTTGTATAACAAAGCAGCTGTACTTTGCATATGTCTCCTGGGAAAGGAAATCTGACCTCATGGCTATGTCTACGGGTCCAACACTGTCCAATCAGACCCCAACAAATAATTACCCTTCCCCAAAAAAGAACAGGTCCCCCCAAACAAACGAACCCCTCCCCTCTCCACAAAAAAGAACCTTGGCCAAAAAAAGAAGCCCTTTCCAAAAAAAGGAACTACCAACAGTGGGATTTGAGACATGGGAAAGGCAGACATGTTGGGACACAACTGCTGGATCCCAAAACGGAGGGCAACCCTTCCCAAACAATGACACCCTCTTTCTAGGGATACCTTCCCCATACTTTCCAGGGATCCTTCTTTCTAGAAACCTCCAGAAACCCGAAAGAGAACGGCCGGTTTTTGGAAAGAACCATGGTTGAAAAGAATGGAAAAGGAATCAACCCCTAGACTCTTGGAAGCTTCGCCCCACGGGAAAATGGGGTGGAACCCTCTTGGAAGCTTCGCCCCATACGTCCTCACGTGCACTCCGGGACCCCGCACTGTCTTCGGGTTCCGGCCATGCTCCGCGAACCAGCGCCAATACTGCCTGAGATGAGAGCTGCGAGCGAGCTCAGAGCTCAACCATCCGCCAAATGGACGGACGCATGACCCCATCCAGGCTTGAAACCTAAAATGGGGCCCGCTCCTAAAGATGGCACTTTTGGGCTCCATGTTGGCTTTCGCTGGAGTGTAGAGTGGGGGAAGGGGACCTTCACCCATCCACTTTGCAGTGGACGGCCTTTCAGAAGTTGGACACTACATCCCATGTTCCTCAATCTTCCTTGGGCAAATCCCAAGCAAGCGAGATATGGCCATGGGTCAAAAGCCCGTACCCGCAGTGAACATCCCAATCCCATTAAAATGGACTAAAATGGCACCACCCACCCCAAAATTGTACCAGTAGTTTTGATCCACAGCCATATCTGAAGCAGAACCCAGCGGATCCAACTACCACTATGGCAGGCAAACAGTTCTGTTTATTTTTCCCCTAGATGCTACATGACAAAATTTCCTGGTGGCCTGCTATGGTACAAAAGGCATCACTGCATGCGCTGAGCAGCCCCAAAAGTTTTGGGTGCACACACAGTTGCAATACGTGGCCTCAGACAGGGGGCTTTGGTAGACGCTCAAGTGATGTTACAACCTTCCAAAAGGGACATGTTGGGTTAAACCCCCCATTTGTCAACCGAGGGTTTACTAATTTAACAGTTTACTAGTTCTGGGTTCCCCTTGCAGGGTCCCACTGTCTCCACTCATTGACGACATGTTCTTTTGAAACGCCAGACTATTTAATGAGACACTCAAACCCTCCCTCTGCAGTGGTTTGCAAGAGGCATCTAATAGAAGGATCCAACAAACAGCTCAATGGCTCAGCAGTAAAAGCAAGCAAAGAAAACAAGCAAAACGACCCCCGCCCCTTCCACGTTCCACTTCAGTAGATCACCTGTCCCCTTTCTCCCCCCCCTCGCATGATGCAAAAACCACCAGCCACAAGGGCAGCACTCAAACTGTCAGAGACCCCCAATAGCCATGGGAAGAAACCATGGCATTCTCTTGTAGGCGGTTGCTTTGACATGGAATCTCCCACATCAAAAACCGGAAACGACGAACAAGCGGCAAGCAACCACCTGGGCAGGGGGGCTACGTATAAGGTTCCAAGTCTCTTACACATGAGCGATGGTCAAATTGACTTGCTTCCAAAAGGGCATTGCTTACACGGGGTTGTCTCAATAATTGGGTCCCCCCAAAATGGTGGTGTCCTTTTGGATCTGTCGGTTGCGCTTTAAAACCAACCGAAAAGGGAACCCCAAAAAAGACAGACCCAAGTCCGCCTTGTTGCGGTGGGAATTTCGGCTGGTCCCCAAATGTCCCTCCAAACAAACAGCAGACTACCAATCAGTCTGTTCAAGCCACTTGTTGACACGGGCTCCTTTTGGTTTCAGGGGTCAAAACACGAGGTTTAAATGATCACGACAGGCAGGTCTCCCTTTCTTTGGTTTATTTCTGTTGCCTTCGCCAAAAGGCAAAAATATATTTTGTGAGTGTAGCCTTTGGCTTAAGACAAACTCATAGGAATGGACTCTAAGTGGGAACTGATATGTGGACATCATTCACATGGGGAGTCATATCCTTTCCCTCCCTTCGAAGCCATTTTGTCTCCAAATGGGGGACATCACCCTCCCGCCATGGACGGGTTGCCCTACGTTTCCATTTGAAGCCGCCCCATATTTAGGGTGCAACCAAACTAACCTCACAACCAAAGACGCGTACCAGCCAAATCACTCAAACAAATCTTATCAACTATACCTGTAGTTTTAGCATGTGTATGTCTATCTATCTATCTATCTATCTATCTATCTGTCTATCTATATAATCTAATCTCATCTCATCTAATCTAATCTAATCTAATCTAATCTAATCTATCTATATGTAGACACCTATAATATCATACCACCACCTGGCCGAGTCTTTGAAGCCTCCCCAAAACCACCTTCTTCGGCCTCCAAACCAAAAACATCCCCTCGCATCATCGCCCACATCGCCCTCGCATCAGCGCGGAAGCCTCCGATCCGATGGCTTCGAGGGGCTTGAAGAGCTTGAGGTGGGACTCTCGGTCCCGGAACGGGATCACCAGCAGCACCGTGCGGCC